TGTAGGTACCACAACTTCTTTAACCATTCATTATCAGTCAGTGGACACTTGGGCTGCTTCCATAATTTGGCTATTGTAGATAATGCTGCATAAGGGTGCATATATCCGTTCAAATTAGTTTTTTTGTATTCTTTGGGTAAATACTCATTAGTGCAATTACTGGATCATAGGGTAATTCTATTTTTCACTTTTTGAGGAAACTCCATACTGTTTTCCATTGTGGCTGAACAAGTTTGCATTCCCACTAACAGTCACGAAGGTTCCTTTTTGTCCACATCTTTGCGAACGCTTGTTGTTTCTTGTGTTGTTGATTTTAGCCATTCTGACAGATGTGAGGTGATATCTCATTGTAGTTTTGATGTGTATTTCCTGGACAATGAGTGATGTTGAGCATCTTTTCCTGTGTCTGTGGCCATCTGTATTCTTCTTGGGAGAAATGTCTGTTCATGTCTTCTGTCCATTTTGTAATTAGGTTATTTGTTTTTTGGGTGTTGAGTTGTATCAGTTCTTTATGTATTTTGGATACTAATTCTTTATCAGGTATGTCATTTTCAAGTATCTTCTCCCATTCCATAGGCTGTCTTTTAGTTTTGTTGTTTACTTCACTATGTAGGGGCTTTTTATTTTGATTTAGTTTTAATAGTTTATTTTTGTTTATATTTCCCTTGCTGCAGGAGGCATATTGAGAAAAATGTTGCGATGGCTGACATCAGAGGAATTACTGTGTGTTCTCTTCTAGGATTTTTACGGTTTCAGGTCTCACATTTAGGTCTTTAATCCATTTTGAGTTTATTTTTGTATATGGTGTAAGAAAGTGGTCCAGTTTCATTCTTTTGCATGTTGCTGTCCAATTTTCCCAACGCCATTTGTTGAAGAGACTGTTTTTTTCCTACTGGATATTCTTTCCTGCTTTGTTGAAGATTAATTGATCACATAATTGTGAGTTTGTCTCTGGGCTTTCTGTCTTCTTCTGTTGATCTATGTGTTTATTTTTGTGCCAGTATCATACTGTTTTGATTAATACAGCTTTGTCGTATAACTTGAAATCTCGAATTCTGATACCTCCAGATGTGTTTTTCTTTTCATGATTATTTTGGCTATATGGAATATTTTGTGGTTTCATACAAATATTAGGGTTGTTTGTTCTAGTTCTGTGAAACATGGTGTTGGTATTTTGATAAGGACTGCATTAAATCTGTAGATTACTTTGGGTAATATGGACATTTTAATAGTATTTATTTTTCTAGTCTCTGAGCATGGGATATCTTTTCATTTGTTTGTATCATCTTCAATTTCTTTTCTTTCTTTCTTTCTTTCTTTCTTTCTTTCTTTCTTTCTTTCTTTCGAGAGACAGCGAGCATGAGCAGGGGAGAGGCACAGAGGGAGAGGGAGAAAGAGAAAGAGAGAGAGATGGGGGGGCTTGAACCCCCTACCCTGGGATCATGACCTAAGCCAAAATCAAGAGTTGGATGTTCAACTGACTGGGCCACCCAAGTACCCCTTCAATTTCTTTCCTCGGTGTTTTATAGTTTACAGGGTACAGGTCTTTTACCTCCTTCATTAAGTTTATTCCCAGGTATTTTATTATTTTGGGTACATTTGTAAATGGGTTTGTTCTCTTAATTTCTCTTTCTGCTACTTCATTATTAGTGTATAAAGATGCAATGGATTTCTGTGCATTGATTTTGTAGCCTGCAGCCTTATTGAATTCATTTATCAGTTCTAGTAGTTTTTTTGTGGAGTCATTGGGGTTTCCTCTATATAGTATCATGTCATCTGCAAATAGTGAGTTTTACTTCTTCCTTACCAATTTGTATGCCTTTTGTTCCTTTTTCTTGTCTGATTGCTGTGGCTAGGACTTGGAGTACTATGCTGAATTAAAGTGGTGAGAGTGGACATCCTTGTCTTGTTCCTGATCTTAGGGGGAAAGTTTTCAATTTTTCACCGTTGAGTATGATGTTTCTGTGGGGTTTTTGTATATAGCCTTTTTTATGTTGCGGTATATTACCTCTAATCCTACTTTGTTAAGGGTTTTTATCATGAATGAGTTGTACTTTGTGAAATGCTTTTTCTGCATCTATGAAATGATCATATGGTTTTTATTCTTTCTCTTGTTGTGATCTGTCATGTTGATTGATTTGTGAATATTGAACCACCCTTGCAACTCAGGAATTAATCTCCCTTGATTGTGGTGAATGATTTTTTTAATGTATTGTTGGACTCAGTTTGCTGTTATTTTGTTGACGATTTTTGCATCTATGTTCATCAAAGATAGTGGCCTATAGTCTCCTTTTTTTGTAGTGTACTTATCTGGTTTTGGGATCAGGGTAATGCAGGCCTCATAGGATAAATTTGGAGGTTTTCCTTCCTCTTCTGTTTTTTGGAATAGTTTGAGAAGAATAGCTACTAACTCTCCTTTAAATGTTCAGTAGAACTTAACCTGTGAAGCCATCTGGTCCCAGACTTTTGTCTGTTGGGAGTTTTTTGATTGGTGATTCAATTTCATTACTGGTGATCAGTCTTGTTCAAATTTTCTATTTGTTTCTTTTTTTCAGTTTGGGGAGATTATATGTCTCTAGGGATTTATCTGTTTCTTCCAGGTTGTCCAATTTGTTGGCATATACCTTTTCATAATATTCTCATAGTCCTTTGTATTTCTGTGGTGTTAGTTGTTATTTGTCTTCTGTTCTGGATTTGTTTATTTGAGTCTCTGTCTCTCCCCCAACCCCTTTCTGAAGAGTGTAGCTAAAGGTTTATCGATTTTGTTGATCTTTTCAGAGAACCAGTTCCTGGTTTCATTGATCTGTTCTTTTGTGTTCTTAGTTTTATTTCATTTATTTCTGATCTAATAATTCTTTCCTTCTACTGGTTTTGGGTTTTGTTTGTTCTTTTTCTAGTTGTTTGGGTACAAGGTCAGTTGTTTGAGACTTTTCTTGCTTCTTGCGGTAGACCTGTATTTTTATCAGCTTCTGTCTTAGAACAGCTTTTGCTGTATCCCAAAGATTTTGGACCGTTGTGTTTTCATTTTCATTTTTCTCCGTGTATTTTTTAATTTTCTCTTTGGTTTCTTGGATGACCCATTCATTATTTTAATAGTATGTGATTTAACTTGCGTATATTTGTTTTTTCCAGGTTTTTCTTGTGGTTGATTTCTAGTTTTGTAGCGTTGTCATCAGAAAACATGCATGGTATGACTTTGATGTTTTTGACTTTGTTGAAATTTGTTTTGTGGCTTAATATGTGATCTATTCTGTATAATGTTCTGTGTGTATTTGAAAATAATGTGTATTCTGTTTTATGATGGAATGTTATGAAAATGTCTGTTAAATCCAGATACCTTGGTTCTTAATAATAGCAATATAACTGTCATATCTTACAGTGTACATAAAATGGTTTTAAAATTACAATTTGTTATTATTAACAAGGATACTGAATGAAGTTCTGTATGTCCTCGTAGTTCATTTTATCCAAAGAATACACAGCCAAATACTACATGTTAAGATCAGCTAGAAAAATTATGTTCTTGTAGTTTTGTTTCCAAAAGTGATAAACATATGCGCGTGTTGACACTTACTTGCAATTTGGGGATTGCCCTCCCTCTTTTTGATTCTCTAAAATATTTACCTAATTCAAAAGTAGACACTGACTTGCTTCATCCCTTCTGGCCTGTTCTTTGCTTCCTCCTGGGTCACCAGTTTTACAGTTCCTGCTTCATCTTTTCAGTGATTCTTTTGGAAGTATAGCAAACACATACTTACGTGCTAAGGCTTATCAGGAAGCCCTTTTTTTCTGCCTCTAGCCCTGTGCTTCCTCAAGTTCAGCATGCCCTGTCTTTTCACGCATTTCTGTCAGATGTACATCTTGTGTTTTGTGGTTAATTTCTGAAACACGATCTGAACCGTTTTCTCTTACTATCTAATAGCCTTTCTCCCTTTTCTCTCCTTTCCTTCTAGTCTGGATCTCTCCTCTCTTCTCCTCTCTTCCCTCCACCCCCGACTCCCTTCCCCATGTTCCCCCCTCCCCTGTCTCCCCTTCCCCTTTCCCTCTCCCCTCCCCTTCTTTGCCTGTTTCTTTCTGTCTCTCTCTTGTTCCTTTCACTGCCTGAATATTTTTCTGTGTGGGTTGATCTGGGCACTATTTTTATTGTTTTTCCCTCGAGCAAAAATATGTGTGCCTGGAAGAGACTATCTGCCAATTATTTCTCAAATCCCCACTTTCTTAGGTGGTCACAGTGCTGTCAGGCCACTTAGTGACTTTGGGATTGCTCTCCCATTGGGGGACACATTGGTGACTTTGGGGATGTGCAGTGTGTAGCCTATGAGAATCTTCCTTCATTGCTCACTCTTACTCCACTAGGATCTACGCCTCTGCTCTTGGGTCACATCTGTGTATATACCTTAACGTTTGTGAGGAGACCCTTGTTTGGTGTAGACGTCTTTGGGCTTTTTCTTGCACTATGATGGTAGGTCTCTTCTGTGTTCATTGGGAGTTTGGGGAAGGTTAAAACCTGCATTGATACCCTGATGTTATCGTACCCCAATGTTTTGATAACAACAAAATGTGAAACCTGGTGAGAGGGTTTAAGTAAATTGTCCATCAGCATCCAAATAGTGAGGGAAGAAATTCTGACTGAAACAGACTGGCTCATTCCAAATCTATTGCTTGTATACACCCGGCCTACAACAGAGTTGTTAGTCTTTAGCGTCCAGCATTGTGTTCTCATTGAAGTGGCTGCCTGACATTTTTCAACTCTTAGGTGCTTGCTGCGTCTTCAGGGTTCCTGGGTGCCTGTGCAGAGTGAGGGGAGGGGACTTTTGTCAGTGTGCTGGGCTCCCCATGTGCATTTGTCTCGTGTCTGCCCCACGGCAACACTGAATACAGAGCACAGAACACCCAGCCTAGCCTCACGTGAGTGCGTTCACCAGCCAAAAAGACCAAGGTTGGGGCCTAGGGGAATTCTGGCCATTAAAGCGAGTTTGCTGTTACATCCGCAGGTTCCGCCTCTCCAGGAACAAGAGAGTTCGTGCAACAGAATCAGAGAGTTCCGAGATCAGGAATCCATCCTTGGCCCTGGTGCACCTCGGCAAAGACATAGGAATCACAGGACAGAGCAGGTTCTAGAGTGGCTGTTTATTTCCCACGAGCAGCCAAAACCCACCCAGTCTCGGGTGAGTTGTGTGTTTATTTATTCCCGCTTCTCTTCTATAGTACTTGTCTCCTCTTTTTTTTTTTTGGTTGGGAGAGGGATGGGGATCCTTGGGTCAAAGAGTTAAGTTAGTCACTTCTCAGTTCTTGCCCTGTTTAGCATCACTGGTCTGTGTAAGGTCCCTATACCTTTATTTACATACTGTCTGATTTCCCCAAACTCCATTTCTGTCTCCTTCCCCACCTCTAAAAATTACTTTGTTTTTTGTGGATTTCTTTTGCTTATATGTATTCACAAAATATGTATTGTTATTGCTGTGTATGTATTTTTAATTTTTGTTAATGGTGTGTGCACATGTGTCTTGCTGTATTGGTTATATTTTGCAGTAAGCACTTTGTTTGATTATATTTACCAGCTCTTGCTACGGAGAGCAGTGCGTGAACATCCGTTTGCCTCACTTTCTCAGCCAACAATTTCTATTGTTACTCTTTTGATTTTGGTCATTCTGGTGATTGTATGATGGCATCTATCGGTTTAATTTGCTTTTCCTCCTGGCTAAAGAGGATGAGTACCTTCTGTCATGCATATTTGATAGTTTGTTGCCTTTTGGATTTTCTTTTTTCATAGTTTAAATGAATTTTTAATATCCTGGAAGCTTGTTAGAAATGCAGAATGTGACACCCCACAACCCTCTTCATTTTAACGAGATCCAGTGATCCGCATACATGAAAGTTTAAAACTAACTTGATACCAAATCCATATTCAAATTTTACCTGGGGTGCTTCCTTTACCTCCAGTATTTTGTTGTAGAAATTTTCAGGCAGAGGGCAAAGTTGAAAGATGTTAGTGAACTTCTGTGTTCCCGTCACCTAAAAGTTACCATTAACATTTTACCATACTTGCTTTATCGCATTATCCGTGTTTTTATCTCTCTATGCATCCATTAAACCATGTTGTTTGGGGTACATTTCTTAATATAGTTCAGATACCATCATGCCTCCTTTAAATACTTCAGTATGAATAGCATTAACTGTTGTTCAATTTTTTTTTTTTTTTTTTTTTTTTTTTTTTTTTTTTTTTTTTGCTTGCCTTTCATTCTGTCAATGCTGTCTTGATGAACAGGTATTTCTAATTTTAATTTATTCTGATTCATAATTTTTTATTGCTTGTGCTTTTTGTGTCCAATTTAAATACTTTTTTGCTATCTGAAGCTCATGAAGACATTTTCTTCATTATTTTACCTTTCACATTTAGGTTTGTAATACATCTCGAATGAATTTTTGTTTGGTGTGGGTGGGAGGCAAGATTTATTTTTTCATAGAGTTATCCATTGTCCCGGGCCCATGACGTGATTGACTTTTTCCTATGCCTGCCTCCCTTGTCATCTGTCAGGTGTCCGTGTGTGTGGTTTGCTTTCATAACTCTTGATTCTGTTTCACGGGTGTCAGGAGCACACTCTGAAGAGGCACACGTGAGTTGTGTCAGCTTTATGCAGTCATAGAGCAAGGTGTTTTGTTTTGTTTTACTTTTTTTTTTAACATTTATTTATTTTTGAAAGACAGAGACAGCGGGTGAGCAGGAGAGGTAGAGAGAGAGAGAGAGAGAGAAAGACACAGAATCTGAAGCAGGCTCCAGGCTCTGAGTTGTCAGCACAGAGCTGATTTGAAATTACACCAGCTTAACTTTGTTACCGTGCAAAGACTCTGCTCCTTTACAGCTCTGTCGTCACCCCTTTTGGTTATTGATGTCACAGAATTACATCTTTATGCACTGCATGACCCCACGCACAGACTAATAATTATTTTAAATGCATTAGTTTCTTATAATATGTAGCAAACAAACTGTGGAGTTACAAACTGAAGTTAAAATAACACTGCCTCTTGCAGTTATTCATTTATCAACCTTTATTAAGATCTTTATTTCTTCATACAGTTTCGAGTTATTTTCTACTTTTATTTCACCTGCTCTCTGGAGCACTTCTGTCAGGCAGGTCTAACAAATGAACTCCCATTTGTTTTCTGGGAATGCCTTAATTTCCCCCTCTACTTTTGAAGGTCAGTTTCGACAGATCCAGGGTTTTTGGTTGACAATTTGGTTTGTTTTAGCGCTTTGAATATATCAGGTCATTGCCCTCAAGTCTTCAAAGGTGCTGATGAGAAATCTGCTTATAATCTTACTGAGGATCCTCGTGTGGGACCAATTGTTTCTTGATGCTTCCAAGATTCTTTGTAGAAAATTGGATTATAATAGGTCTCGACGTCGGTTTCTTTGAGCTCATATTTGTGGGTGTCTGTCAAGCTTCTTGGGTGTTTATAGTCACATCTTTCATGAAATTTGGTGTTGTTATGACTAGTTTTTTTAATATTAGCCATTCTGATTGTGTGTAATGGCGTCTTATTGTTAATTTGTAATTCTTTAATGAGGTATGATGTTGAACATCTTGTCATATGTGTAATTGCCATCTGTGTATCTTCTCGTTCAGATCGTGTGCCTCACAAACTGGCCACTCCTTAGAGCTGTTCCCCTTTCATTCCACCTAAGTTGTGACATGCCTTCTCTCACAGTGGCTGCCTCAGCATTACCCTTTCATAGGTTCAGCCTGACACTTTCAAATGGCTTTGCCAGCTTCCTCCTTTGTGCCCCTGTTGTGCTCTGTATGTTCGTTCATCTTAGCTTCTTTGACTCCCAGATAGTTCACCGATGTTTAACTTTGCTTTCCTATGTAGTGGTGAACACTTCTTGTGCACAGAGTTGTGTTTCATTCAAGCTTGTATCACCTGCACCTCACTGGATATCTGGCGCCAGGTATTCTCATATGCCGAGTGAAAGGCTGAGTGACTTAATGCACATCGAAGGGATGCTTTCAATAAATTCTAGCTTTTCTCACAAAGTAGAATATGAACAATGGACATTCTAGGCGGCTTGTCGTTTCCCACAAGCTCAGTAAAATGATTTGAGATTCAATAGGAATGTGCTCTTTCAGGGACCATTGTCATTTGTGGATGTGTTTGTGGACTTTACCTGGGAAGAGTGGCGGCTGCTGGACCCAGCTCAGAAGCACCTGTACAGGAGTGTGATGTTGGAGAACTACAGCCACCTGGTGTCCCTGGGTAGGCGCTCCCTCCCTCAAAGGACTGTGTGTGATCTCCAAGCTTCCCCTTCTTGGGTGCTGAAACTTGGGTGGCTTTTGCGAAGAAATTACTTGTGATTTTAGACTTATATTTAAAGGCCAGATTCTCTTAGTCTCCCTCTGGCCTCAGAATATGGTAGTGGAACGGTCTCCACTTTGCTGTGGGCATAGGGCAGCTTCCACATGCTGCCTCCACGCTAAATCTTCCCTATTCTTCAGGGTCTGTGGTAGTTTGGGCCCAGGTTGTCTGTGATTTTCCATTCACAGGTTATCAAGACACCAAACCTGATATCATCTTCAAATTGGAGCAAGGAGAAGAACTGTGGATGTTGCAGGCCCAAATCCCAAGTCGAGGCCGTCCAGGTGAGCGATCAAGATACTTGGATCTTTCCTCCTTGCTCAGAGTTGATGTGAATTCTGATTGACGTACAACTCACGTTTGTGCCTTTTGTCTCATTCGTCACCGTTTTTTCTCCATTTCCTTCCCGTTGTCTTCCGTTCTTTTTTCTGCTTTCCCAAGATAGTAGACTCATTTTGTTATCCATTTAAACAAGCTTCCTCTTTACCTTACTCAGCGTGACTATCACACACCCTTCTATTTTCTTTTTTTTTGAATTATATTTTTATATCTCTTTTTTATATTTTTTTAATTATATTTAAAAAAAATTTTTTTTTTCAACGTTTATTTATTTTTGGGACAGAGAGAGACAGAGCATGAATGGGGGAGGGGTAGAGAGAGAGGGAGACATAGAATCGGAAACAGGCTCCAGGCTCTGAGCCATCAGCCCAGAGCCTGACGCGGGGCTCGAACTCACAGACCGCGA